AATCATTTTCAAAGTTAAATAAATAGACTAATCAAAAGAGATGACTATAATATTAAAAAATAAAGTTAACTATTGAAAAGTGGAAAAAAAAATTCTCTCTTTTTTTATATGTGGTTATAGATAAAACAAATATTTATCTTTTGTATTGTCCGTATAAAATATTAATTTTATTTAGATTTAAAAGTATCCTTATAGCAAACGAAAATTTTGCTTGTGTTATATTTACATTGGGAAATTGCAGATGGATAAGGCAATTTGCAGTAAAGATTTTATATGAAACTTACTCACTCCACTGATATAACATAATCCCCTAAAAAATCAAAAGGCATGTTATCTAACATTACCAATGTATTCTAATTTCAACTCCCTTCCCCCAATAAAAGGACCTATCCCCAGAATAATAACTAATAAGCCTTGGCATGAATCAAATTAGTTAAATGATTTGTTTGCAGGCTTGCAGCTATTTTCGCTATACAGCAATGTATTTCCCTCCCGGAAAATAATCAGCAAAGCTATATATGTACTGCTATAAGTAACCTTTCTCTTTTTCATATTTACCCTTTCACACAATATATGTTGCATCATTTGATTGGTATCTACACCAAAGATTAGGAGAAGCAACATATTATATTATATCACCATTGGGCCGAATTCACTCTCCGAAGCATTTCTCTTGGTTTACGCTTCTCCTCAACTGGAATAAGGCACTCCATGAGCTGCAACCAAAGAGTAAAGGACAACGAATCAAATTAAAAACCAACACGCAACCAAACACATTAAAGACAATTATAACCTTAGAGAAAAGTTAAAGTCACTGCACATGTTCCTTTGTGGGTTTGTTGCCCCAATTACTACAATCGTAAAAGTCCACTTCACCCTCTAAAGTCTACAAACTAGAGTAATTCTTTTACTCCCAATCTCCGATTTAACCAAAATTTATATATTCTGGGCACTATTGTGATGCATCATGTATATATAACAGCTCTTGAGTTCAAAAATATTTGAAATTCCAAGGATAAGTGGATAGCTGAGATATGTGGCGTGTGAATGTAATTCAAGAGTATTATATCAAAGTGTTGCACAAGCCAATAATTAAGGAAGTGGCAGTTGGTGAATTAGAAAATGAATAAGGCAATTCATCCCAAAAGAGAAGAACAATTGAGATTCAACCTAACCAGGGCAATTGGATAGGTGGATATTAATTATTTATTATTGGTCAAACCTAAACTAGTGCAGTTAACCATGAACATTTATGAACTCGTCTCTCCATTAACAATAGTTGTTTGAATTGAAGGCAATATGTCGAAGAAACAGCATTGAATTCATAGTTATGAAAACAAATAAATGGAAGTTTAGTTGTTTCCTGAAATTAGGCGAATTAAGGAAATAAATAGTTTGGTGAAGTAGAAAGGGGCGTATACCTGATTGTACCTCTGCCTTCTCCTATCCACCTGCACACAATACCTAACATTTCATAAAACTTATCAATCATATTTTAATTTTGGAAGAAGAAAAAAAATACAATTTTCTTAACCAGCAAAGGGAAATTGGAGAATGTAAATAAATTTTGACATCTTGGTGTGTGAGCTAGCATACCTCTTCCATCAACAGTTGAGCATTTTCCTCCTCCAGATGTGTAACCAGAGTTTCAAGCTCAACTGTGTAGGCCTGAAAAAAATTTATTAAAAAAAAAGAAAAAAAAAAAGTGAGTGACCCACACATTTGAAAATAAAAATAAAAAAAATAATAAAAAAAAGAAAACCTGCTTGCGTTCTCTGGACCTAGCAGCAGACTCTCTGTTTTTGATCATCCTTCTCTGCTTCTGAAGAGTGGCCTTATCAAGGAATTGTTCCTCCAAGTGGTGGGTCTTTCTCTTTCCCCTTCCTCCATGAGAGCCCAAAACGGCGTCGTTCAACAAGTCCTCAAGGCTCATGCTCGTGTCTTGTGGTGCCACATCGGGATTCCCACTCACCACCAACTTGGACGATGCCATCTCTTCTTTTCTTCTCATAAACATCAAACCTTCCCTTCCCTCCCCTCTATTATAATTATAAAGCCCCCTTAAT